CGGAAGGAAGGTGGTTTCAGGCGGGATGCACGGGGTGCGCACGAGCCGGACTGGATCATGTCAGGAGGATCTGAAGAGTGAGTTGCTGGCGTGGATGATATCACCACCGCGTGTCACCATCGAGGACGTCTGCAAGTACATCAACGGGCCTCTGCTCCAAGACGACAAGGAGGATCTTTCCAGGCTCCATGCGTACCAGGTGAACCTTCCGGTTTCGATGTCCACGACGCACTCGTGGATGATAAGGTTGGGCTGCAAGTACGAGCGGGCCACCAAGTCGTTCTACACGGACACCCACGAGAAGAAGGAGGTAGTCGAGTACCGCGGCGAGTACATAGAGAAGAGACGCAAGATGGCGCTGCGTCAACCCTTGTGGGTACGAGTGCAACGAGCCGCTCTCAAGCAGGAGGAGGTGGACCGACTCGACAGCCTTAAGTCGCGAGGCCCGGAAGGAGATTTCTACGCAGAGGTGTACGACTGCAAGATCGATGGACAAGACTGCATCGAATTCCACGTAGATCTCCTGCGCGACGACGGCTCCGTCGATAACTTCGACAAGCTCCGCGCCGCACTTGGTCCAGAGGGTGGGGACTACAGCGTTCGCTTCGATCAGGCCGCTGCTGCCCAGTGCGAGTATTTCCACCCCCCGAACAAGTGCAGATGCGGCAAGAACGTGCACCATNGAAGGAGATTTCTACGCAGAGGTGTACGACTGCAAGATCGATGGACAAGAATGCATCAAATTCCACGTAGATCTCCTGGGCGACGACGGCTCCGTCGATAACTTCGACAAGCTCCGCGCCGCACTTGGTCCAGAGGGTGGGGACTACAGCGTTCGCTTCGATCAGGCCGCTGCTGCCCAGTGCGAGCATTTCCACCCCCCGAACAAGTGCAGATGCGGCAAGAAGGTGCACCACATCGGGCAGGACGAGAGTGCCTACAAGGCGTATGCACGCGAGGGCAAAGAGTGGGTGATTCGAGGGGTGCGCGGACTGCGGAAAAAGACGGAGGGGCCGGGGGAAATGGTGTCTGGTTTTCAGGACGAAAGACACGGTTTCGGCTTACCTATTTCGGATGCCGACCTGGCGGCGGTGAACGCCAAACGCGATGAGGAGGGGAACGGCAAAAAACCCCTGACGCGAAGCCCTGGACTCCGGTTTCTTGAATACGGAAAAGGCAAGGATGGGTACTGGGGCTACGACCAGTTCGAAGAACAGGTCGAAGACGTGATGGACGTCTTGGAGCACATCGATCCCGACATGCAAATAGTGTTCGAGGTCGACCACTCGTCGGGCCATGGGAAGCAGCGAGAGGATGGTTTGCATGTATCGAACATGAACGTCAAGTATGGGGGGAAGCAAAAGGTGTTGCGGGATTCGGTCATGACGGAGGAGTGCTTGGGTCCGGAGGAGGCGAAAATGTATTTCGCCAACGGCAGGTGGAGCACGAAGTTCAGCGAGGGGGCAGTGTGTGTTGACCAGAAGCTGACGGTGGGCCAGACTCAGACTAGCACTTTCGCGGTAGGTGCGCCTCCTCCGTTTTTCGAATGGGACGCTCCGCGCAAAGACACGAAGAACGCGAGGGGAAGGTCAAGGAAGGGTACGAGGGGAAAGCGAAAGGGGTCAGGCAGTACCTGTGGGAGCGTGGGTGGTGGAAGGACGGCATGTCAACAGGGGCGGGAGTCAGTGACGATATGCACGTGGAAAAGGTTCTGCACGCCTTGCCTGACTTTAAGATTGAGAGGACAGCCCTGGAGCACCTGGTAGAGAGTAGGGGACACATTCATTTGTCNAAGTGTCACCCGGAGGTAGCGGGGGTAGGGATCGAGTACTCGTGGGGGTTTTCCAAGCAGAAGTTTCGGCGGAAGATCAATGATGAGGTCCCGAAGCACTTGCACGACAACATCGAAAAGTCGCTGTGCATAGACAAGTACTTGACAATCGGTCGGGTGCGGCGCTTTGCCCGGCGAACACGAGACTACTGCCGGGCTTACCGCGAGATTGCGCTGAGCGGGGTAGTCATCAGGAGCAACGAGTTCATCGAGAAGATGCGCAAGATCCAAAAGGCCCACCGCAATATTTTGGACATGGAAACTAGTTTTCTTGGCGACCAGTAACAACGTCGGCCGGCCGATGGCGAGGGGGGGGG